ATAACTTAAAAGGAGCACAAAAGGAGCTAAATGTTGGATCTTGGCTTTCTTACATCATTACACAATTCTCTTATCCCGTCATTTTCCTGGGGGATGAGGGGGAGTAATGGCCATCCCACTGTTGCTACAGGAAGTCTGTTGGATGCTGTTCCAAGGAAAATTGGAAATGCTACTTTAATTCTTTTAGGGCTAATTGTGCGACCGAGTTCAGTGGGAATTCTGTCCCTGATTTCTGCAGAGGCAGGATGCACATGGGCTTGGTTTGGATATTGCGAAGAGGACTGAGTCGACTGCAAAGTTGCTGTCTGCTACCAGGACCTTGGAGTTCGTACCCTTGGTTCCTTAGTGCCTGCCCTTGCTTTGTGACGAAGGAAAGAGGAAGTTTTTCTTTGTAGGACACTCGGACGTCCAACATTACACACAAACTTGCAAGATGGAATCTTCCAACTGCGCAGTCAGTCCCAGCACAGGCGATGCACCCTGATGAGCCATGCCTATTGGAAAGGTGCCCGCTGTGTTGTTCAGCCTCTGCAGAAGTTGAAGTGGTGATGACTTAACCTTAAACACTAGACAGAGAGGTTTGAAGCTGCCCAGGAAGGTCGCCCAACATTTTCTTTCTTCTTTTTACCTTTTTAAAATGAAAGTGTCATGGGTGGGAGGTGGCAGAACTGAAATTATACCTGTCGACAGAGAAATAGTGGAGAAACTATGAAGCTGGGGAAAACTGTCCTTGCTCATGGATTTCACGGGGACTGTAGCGCTGCGTAGCTGGTGAAGATTAACCTACAGAACTCTCGGGAAACTTGCTGACTCTTCCCCCACACCACCCCCAAAACAGAAAAGATCTGGAGCTCAAAGAGAATGCTGAGCTCCAGAAAGCTGAGTGCTTTCTGCGTGAGAAGATTAAGGAAATCTTGCCATTCCATGTCACCCTTTGGGAACTACTTTATGGCCCTTGTTTTGGTATTAGTTGTATGTGTGTCAGATGCTTTTAGAAGCGTCCTTTTCACTTTAGTGTCTCAAAACCTATGTGGAATTCCTTTTAATTGGGGGTGGGGAGATGTTCATCCCCTTTTTAAATCAAGTTTTGAAATTTTCATGACTGTTTATTGAAAAATTGAAACATTTGATCCGTTTATGTGTGTAAGAAATGTTTATACAGCTTGTGCATGCAGCTGTAGGACGGGAGTAGTACTGAAAGTCCCATACTGTTACACATGAAGATGTTTGGATACATCTGGGAGAATGTAAGCAAGTAGGTCAGTGGATCATGACTTAATGATTTGGAGCAGAGGCGGAATTTGGGGGAGTAGTGGCAAGGCATTGCTGGAGAAAAAGTAACAAATGGAAAATCTGAATGATGACTTAGGCTAAAAGTATCAACAGAGAAAGCTGAACAAAATTAAATGTATGCATATGGCAACCACTTTTGGACACCATTTTGTATATGGGGGACTTGGCTCAGAGGTGGCTGAGGTGCAGAGGCACTCATAGGAGTCTGGCTGCGAGCAAGGGTCTGTTCTGTGTTAGTTTTTGTGCGCGATTGTAACTGTGCTATGGTGGTGACTCTTGGCCTTTCTGATGGGACTGATAAATACTGGTGGGAACACCTATGGGCGCAGCAGGCTGTTTTGATCCCCACAATAACTCCAGTGAGCTCAAGTTGTCAGGAGGCTCTGACCTTGACCATATAGCGTTGGGGGAATATCTTCCAAAGGCAAAGTCGTTGGCCATGTCTGTACTGTCACAGCGAAGAATTGCAGGACGAGAGCAAGGGTTAAAGCTCTGAGTAAAAACAGCACGGGAGCCCACCTGGAGAGATGCAACTGTGCCCCTCTTCTCCTGCAGTGGATGCATGCATATGTATGTGTACATCACTAAAATTCCCTGCTACCAAATTTCCCTGCTTCAAAATATCAACCGATTTCTAGCGTCAAGGAACCTAATCATCTATTTATTAAAATGAGACAAACAATAAGTTTGTGTGGAGAAATGCGAAGGCAGTGCACATTGATCATGCTGATTTAGGGCTGTACCGCCATCACAGCATTTCCGGAGACAAATTCTTTGCAGCTAATTGCATTATAAATTCCGCTAAACCGTTTTCATAAGGTATTTTCCTAAGATATAAGCCCTCTATTGAAAATAAAACCAAAAAGTGCAAAGAAGCAGTTGTGGGGGTTTTTCCTAATTAAATATTACATGAAAGTAAGACAAGAGAGAGAGGGAAAAATGCAAATTGTGTTAATTAAATGCTAAGTCTGCTGTAAGGGACTAGTTTTAAACACCGGGGGACATGTTGAAACTCATCCAGATTTTCCAAGTGAAAGCCAAAAAAGTAGAGTCCCGAGGTTTTTGTCCTGAGATCAAGATGATTCTGAGCCATCCCAGATCAGGATTTTGATGTCACCAAATTTCAGAGGTGGTAATCCTGGCATGTCATGAATCTTAACCATCCTGAAAAGTGACCCAGATGAAGCCTGGATGCTGGACCACCTTCAAGAGAGCTCAGGGAGTGTGGCAGTGGGAATCAGCCTCTTCCTCCTGCTATGGTGGACCGTGGCAGTGGGGTTACGCTGCTGGTGGTGGGTACCCTGGGCTAGAGACACCGATGGGAAATAGCAGTCACCGTGTACAGCCGGTATGAACACCTGTGGCATTCGCCACAGAGCAGTTCCCCCAAATACTCAGTGGTACTTAGCAAAGTGCATTTCTACAGGGGATCTCAATCGTTTTTATCAAGCTGGGTCAGAAGACACTGAAGCAGAGAGCAAGTTAATTGGATTTCCCAAGGAAGCATAGCAAGCAGCGGAGGACTGAGCCTGGCTTCCTTGTTTCCCAGCCTCCAGCTCAAAGCACCAGACTGTTGCCCATGCTATTTTAGTATTTCTTTGGCTGACTGGGAGCAAAGCACGACATTTCTTTTCTTCTTTCCATATTGAAGGGCAGAAATTCTCATTCCTTGGAAATACTTGTCACTTTGAGCATGCCTGTCCAAATTCTCTCCTTGGTTCCTACAAGGAGAACAAATGTGCTGTGAGCTCATTTTAGAGAGTCCAGGCAGGGAACGATTACAGTCAGACCAGGAGAGGAGGCTGAGTCTCCTCCAGGCTTCATGTATGAGATGTTTCAGGTAGTGCCCATTTCCCAAAAAGTTACTTGGTAGATCAGCAATTGGGAAATTTCTTTGCCAGGGTACTTTTGCCACAGGAAAGCCTTTCCTCCTAATGCCTTGCATGGAACTGGGAGTTGCAGCTCCCAGGGTAGCTGTAGCTATCAGTCTGCTATTGGATTAGAAGGAAGCTTTTTCTTTTCTTCCTCCTCCTCTCCCCCTCCCCATGCAGTAAAATTACTTGATTACAAAGAAATTGGGAGAGAAATGTACTGCCTGTGATCTTGTCTTTGAGCCTAGGGGTAGCTCTGAGCATTTCAGCGGTCATGGCTAAGCCCTGGCTGTGCCATGGGCATGTCCACAGGGCGAGACCCTGCTCACACAACCCTGCTCACCCGCCTCCTAAAAGTCAGGCACCCACTGTCAGCAGGTCGCCCTACTGCTGCCAGAGCTGGGGGGACAGGGGCTCCCCCAGAAGGCAATTTTCATCCACACCTGCCTTCATGCAGGAAGGAGGCTTCTCCCCGGCTTGCCAGTGGAGCCCCAATGCCTGAAGTTTAGGTGGCTGAAGTTAGATGGGTCAAAGAAAGCTAATGGAGCTGGGTATTTCGTGAGCCTGAGCATCAGTTAATTAATTTTCATCTTGCCCTGAGCTGGGTTGGGTATGAGCTGTTTGTCTCAAGGGGGAACTGAGGCAAGAGCATTGGGTTGTGGCAGAAGAACCATTAGGTCCCAGGACTAGCTGCCTCATTAGGCCTCTCCATCTCTCTGCTCCAGACAGGAGAGACGCTCGTGCCCTCTTTAAAAGTGCTGTGCCCTGACCATGAGGATGCTGTAGCAAACACGCTTAGTGTTGACTCCCACACCAAAGGAGTGAGTTCCCTGCATGACAACCATTAAAGGTGCACGTAGGAGTGACATAGGCCAGAGATATGTATAAGAAATTTAAGCCAAGGCTTAGCTGAAAAAACTGTCATAAATGTTCCTCAGCCAAAGTCACAGAAATCAGATGACTATGAAGATTAAGGAGAAAGTTCCATAAAATTGTTGCACCCCCCAAAATGGAATTTCATCCTTATGACGGCTGGCATAGCAGTGGGCTTTAATCTGGGGGAAGGGGGACATCTGTGTGCTGGTGGGAAGAGTAATAGTCATTCTTGCAAAAAGCAAAGAAGGGGGGAAGAGGGGAGGGAGAAAAGCCCCATCTCTAATTTTTTATGGTAAAAGGGGTGTTTGTGGTTCTCATTTTTTATGTTGTTGTTGCCAACAATTGTTACGTGGTTGTTAATTTTTTTTTTAAGTCATTTTAGTTTTTCCAAAAGTGACCATGATTTGTTACTTATACTGTAGCTTACAGAAGTGACACACTTAATATCGGGGGGTCCAAACCTGGATATCTACCAATGGAGATGGAGATCAGGTAAATGCACACCTGCTCTTCCAAAGAGAAAAAGCTGCCATTTGGCAACTGGTTTGAGAGGGAGCTGCAGGCTATAACATGAGCATTTTGGAAGAGATTAGATTGAGCGCTGCCATTAATCACCAACTTCCATGTAGGCCCAGCATGGTTTTGTGTGACAATGGTGTTCAGACAACACACCACCTACCAGGAGACTCCAGGTCCCTGGAGAAGGCTCTGGGTTCTGTCCCTAGCAGTAGCTGAGCACAGGTCCACCGAAGGAGACCTGGCAGGAGCTGTGGTCCCCTGCAGACCAGCCCCATAGCGAGTACGAGGTACTGTCTTACTCTCCCAGCCGGAGGGAAGGCGGTGGTGGCTGCAACAGAGACCGTGATGGAGAAGGCAGGTGAGAGGGAGGTGTCTGCAGGTAGAAAAGAGTAATTATGTGGCACCATTGCCATGCCTAATATCTCCTCTTCTCTTTTACAGACACTTAACAAGAACAATTTGATACCAGATGACAGGACCAACTTCTACCCATTGCAGCAAACCAATGTGTACACGACAACCTATTATCCCAGTACACTGAATAAATATGACTACAGGCCCGAGGCCTCCCCTGGAAGGACCTTTACCAACAGCTGATGATGGACAGATCCTACAGGACTGGATCACTTCCTATATGAATTTTTTTTTATTGATTTTATGGACCAAATACTGGCCCAGCCTCTAGATGTAAATATTGTACAGTAGAGTCTTTTTTTTTTCCTTTGGTTAATTGTATTTCTTGTAAACAGCACATCTCCTTACAAGGACAAAAATGCATATGGACCATTCTGCAGAGCTTTTGTGGATATTTGGCTGGAGATGGCTCTTACTACTGCAACTGTTTATGGCTGGAAGATTGGCGTTGCTGTCCAAGGCCGACGTTGTCAAGGAGGTGGCTGTGTGCTGGGCTCAGTGGCCACCACACAGCAGCACATGACACACGGGTGCACTCTAAGCAAGGCAAGAGGTGGCCTCCTGGGGCAGGGGTGTCTGTCTGGTGAGGAGCCTCCTTCCTGAGACAGGGTAGCAACGGTGCACTGGATGACACGCAGCTCATGAGACAAGCCGAGCAGGACTCCATCGTGCCAACAACTTGAAGAATGTTTTCTTTTTCTTTTCCTTTTTTAATTTTTGATTCTTTTTTATGTTTCTGCAAAAAAAAAGAGAAACCAACGAACTTTCTAGGGCAGCGTTCCCTGTATCTTCAACAGAATCTTTTCTTATTACAGGAAATACTCTCTGCAGCCTTCTTTGGTAATACACAGTTCAGCTGATGAGAAACAACACAGAAACAAAGTGCATTACCCAAAGAAGCTTTCCAGAATGATTCCAGTCTTAATTAAAAGAAAATTATATAGGCAGTGAGACACTGAGAAAAGTAAATGTTGGAATAACATCGGAGACATGAACTTGGAGTGCCTAACAAACAAAGATGTTTATATCGCTGGAAAAAAAGATGTGATGATTGCCACACAAGAGCCATGGGCTTTTTTTCTTTCTTCCTTTTTTTCTGAGACAGCGTTAACTCTTTTTGTTCTAGCTTTGATCCTGATTGCATCTGCCAGGAAAAGGCAACTTTAGAGGCCATGCTCTTCTTGTGGGAAATCACCATGCTTTGGGCTAGTTTTCCCTCTTGTTTTATTGTTGGGTTTTACTTCATTTACTTTCAAAGAGTGAATAATTCTGACTTCGCAGGGGGAGGATATTTGCATAAGGAATGTTTCCATAGTCTGACAAGACCCAGAAAGTCTGCTGCACATTCTTATAGCGTCTTCCAGTCAGTACTCTATGAAATAGTAACACAGCTGAGTAATGTGCGCTGTTTGCCAATATTTCTTTCATTTTTCTGAACAAAAACAACCCAACAAACAAATGCTGCTGCAGCTATTGAAGTAAATTGGGGCGGTAGCATTATTCAACACTATATCCAGCCTTGAAATGTAATTTTGTGTATGTGTGTGACTGTGTCTATAAGAACTGTATTAGTTTGATGCAGAAGCCATGTTGTCTACAACCAGATGTTTGTCTGACATAATTGTTTGGCAAAAAGGAAACTTATTGCTGGTGCTTAATGTACAATTACATCCAATGTGTTAGCAACGTGAACAAGTTCACCACTGTTATCATTCAGTGTTTCTAAATATTTATAATGAACTCCTGATGCTAAGGATTTTAGAATGTCGCAATACTGAGCATGAGATAAAAGTACACCCCAAAATGCGCATGAGCTCCATGTGGTCCCGAGCTTGCCTTTGTCGTCTGCATCTTACTCGAGCAATTGCCATGCCTGTGCTTGGCCATTGCCTCGGCCGTGTTCCCAGCGGTCCCGTTTGTCTTCGCTTTATTTCAGATTTTGCTGTAAGCCGACACCAACCGTTTCTCGGTGCTATTCCTTTGCAGTTGCTTGTTTGGAAGCCCAGCTTGGGCTGTGTGCTCAGCTCTTTCACATAGGCAGCTGGTAGGAAATGAAGAAAGACTGTGTGGCTCATGACAAGTATACTGCTTTTCCTGCGAGGAAAAGCCAACATGGCTCTGTAAGCCTGTGTTATGGTGATTTGACCAGAAGGCAAGAATAAAGTAGCCTCCCATTTTTAAATTACTTTTTGTTCAACTTCAGCTTGCAGTGATTGAAGGCTGCAGGGATATTTTTAATAAAGTGGGGTCATTAGCGCTGCCACGAGGATGCCTTAGGCTCAGTGGTGCCCATCATTTCCAGCAGCTGTTTTTTCTAATTTAGCAGCTCATCCTGCTTCTGCTCTGGTCTCACCGGGTGAGACGGAGGGAACAAAGGAAAGGAGGGAGAGAGATGCCCTTAAATAGATGTACTCGCATGTGAAGCAGCGGGGCCAGGAGCTGATGCAGACCTCGAAGCTCTCTCCGAAGCAGCCTGCTGCAGCCCTCCAAGTAGCTCACAGCAGCTCGGCAGCTGGGGCGAGAGCAGCAGGAGCGGAGCGGGATCTCCAGGGGAGCACTGGTAGCAGGTACAGTGCCCGCAGGGGGGGGGTTCCCAGGCCCCTAAGCCCCATTTGAGGAGCGATGCCTTTGTGCCCCATCTCACTGAATTTTCTCATCCCCCTCAGCAACACTGAAAATCCTCACTTAAAGTAGTTCTAACTAGTATGTAGCCCAGGGGTTGAAAATTATTACATCAGACCATCAGGATGGGATTTCCCAGCTTTAATTTACGTGACTCAAAACATGGGCTCCCAAGATCACTCTAGCTGATTTGAGGAGCGATGCCTTTGTGCCCCATCTCACTGAATTTTCTCATCCCCCTCAGCAACACTGAAAATCCTCACTTAAAGTAGTTCTAACTAGTATGTAGCCCAGGGGTTGAAAATTATTACATCAGACCATCAGGATGGGATTTCCCAGCTTTAATTTACGTGACTCAAAACATGGGCTCCCAAGATCACTCTAGCTGTTGTAAAATTAAAGCCATCTCCGAGCTTCCCCTTCAGAAGATTCCCTGTAGCGACATGTTCTGCAATTACCATGCACGTGGCAGGGTTGCAGCTGGAGGCTGCGGGGGGATGTGAGCAAGTCAAACCTTGCAATTATTTTAATTTTCTATTTTTCCTTTATTTTCTTTTTTTTTTTCCCCTCCATAGACATTTTTCCATTTTTGGCTTCACAGAATAGCACAATGTAAACTGATTTTTTTTTTTTTTTCCCCCCAAAGTGCCACGTAGCAGCTGAAATTATTTAAATGTCCAGCTCATCAAGATAGGTCATTACTGCCATTGCATTCAGGAGGTGGATATTTTGTAGGCTATTGGAGGGCAGAGGCTTCAAGGGTGGTGCATTTGGTTATAGTTTCATCAAGACATTCCTTCTTACCAGACATCCAAATGGATTCAGCCTTTTTTCATATAATTGGGAATCACAGCAAGGATCTATAGACTCCATTTGAGCAGAAAGTAGAAACCAGGAGAGAGTGAGAGAGAGTGAAAGAAAGAAATCAGAATGCTTATTACTCAATTAATGTTTGCATGAGAATACAGTTTCTTAAGGATGATGTTAATGCGGTGTGAGGGTTGCATTTTATTTTTTTTTTATGAGCTCTCTAATGCGTGGCAGGTTAATGACACCATGTGCAGTGGTATTCTTGCAATCCAGGTAATTTGGCAGCTTGATCATCAGGTCTGTAATAGCTGTAGCAGCTTGAATTGCTCCTGCAGCTGAATGTTAAAGTTGCTAAAATTCCCTATTCCTAAGGCTACCTTAAAGTACACTGGAAACGCATTTAGTTCAGGAGCATTGCTTTCCAAAAGACTCATCTTGCTAGATACGCATTTTTTTCTTTTCTTTCACATCTAAGATAGAGAAGGGGGACCCGGGGCAGTTCCTGTGTTGGTCCAGAGACATTGGTTCTCTGCAAACCCTTTGGATAGGATTCAAGGATACAGTATGTAAAACGTTGTGGAAATCTTACAGCCAAGTATGTAGCGGAAACACCTTTCATCAGGCCATTCTCTTTTCTTTTTCCATGGAATTGGCTGCCTTTCTCACTCCAGAAGGGGTGTGCGTTATGGCATTAGCTGGGCTGTGTTGTGCAGTTGCTGCCGGGCTTTACTCGAGCAGCTATCACCCGCCAGAAATAACCTGTGCAGCTCGCTAGCAGGCAAACCGCTGGATGCTGAACCCCCAGCGTACGAGGTGCTGTTGCTCTAAAGGTGCGCTTGAATGTTCAGCCTATGAGCCAGGGGTGCTCTTCGATACACGAACTGTACAGACACTGTAGGAGAAGAATGTGTGCTGTCTTACCACCGCTGTTCCTAATGCCTTACGTTCAGAAGATGAGACGGTTGGTTTGGAATGAACAGAGGGTAGGGACGGAGCCCACGTCTGATGCAGACAATTTGACGCCTCCAGAGTTAATCTGATGTTAAACCCACCTGGAGAGGAAATTGCTGTCCACTGAGATTGATTTATTCTTTGTACCAAATGTAGTGTGGGGAGAGTTATATATATATAAATATATATATATATATAAAAATTGTAAATGTAAACACACAATATATATATTTAGCAAAATGCCTGCACAGGAAACTTAGAATAAGAAAGGCAGTGCTGGTATTCAAATTCCACAGGGACAAAGTGAAGAAAAAAAAAACCTGTAAAAATCGAGTATCCTTTCCATTAGGTTTAAAAAAAACCACACTTTTGAGGTAAATGAAATGTAATTTTTTAATTGAAAAGAAAATTGATTTTTCTAGTTAGAAATGCTGATTCTCCCCTAAATCATTCTGGTTAAGAATGATTAAGAAAAAGATTCTTGTTACTGCTTATATTTTCTGAATAAGCCTCCCAGAGCTCTCATGTGTATCGCTCGATTGTTTTTGTAATTATAAGTAGGGAGTAATTGTGCAAAGAAAATTAAAATAGCAAGTAGGAGTAACAAATATTGTACCATTAGAGGAAAAGGCATCATCTATTAGAATGTGAAAAATGTCACCTTCCATGGTAAAGAAGTTAGCAACTGCTTTCTGAGTTATTGATCGCCATTATAAGCCTTGCCTTACAGTCACACCAGGAGGTTTTAATACAGAATTTAGGGAGGAGAAACCCTGCAAACCCATGGCTCCTGGTTTTCA